CCCAGCCTCTCACTCAAAGCAGCTCTCCAGACACTTCTCATGAGCTGAGCAGCTCACAGCAGCCTCCAGTACTCACGTGATTCCCCTAGCCTACACAAGTCCCTATACGAGTCCACTATAGGATCAGTAAATCCAGCTAGAAAAGTTCTATTTCTCTTCAGGGACTAACAAAACTCAAAGCGGGGAAAGAAAAAAAAAAAAAATCAACACTTCTTTCATTTAATATTGTCTTTGTGGTCTTTCATGCCAACCCACACTTTCAATCACTTTGATTCAATTGCTGAAGAGAATCCCTGTGTTCCCTAGAATCCCCTAGGCTTGAGACATGCATTTCTGCATATAAAACATTACAGATGCATAAGCACATTTCAAATATTACACAGTTTAATAATCACAATAACAGAAAAAAAAGTCTGTCTGGTTCTGCCAGTGTTGTTCACAGCTGTTTCTGACAGGATAACCCACCTGGATTAATTATTTTGAACAGTGGTAAGGCATAGCATAGAAAACTGAAGTTTGTCACTTTCATGACACAGGATTTTATGCTTGCAATGACCTGGGAGGTGAATTAGTTCCTTCTGCTAAAACTCAAACAAACCCCACAACAGTAACAGAAGGCCAAAACTTCAAAGGCTGAGCAAGAGTTTGAAACCACTCTGGTTAACTAAATTATGGTTCAAGGCTACAGTTAAACATGGGAATTGTTTCAACAGGAAAATGAACAGCTCCTGGAAAAGACGAGATCTGAATAATCATTCTTCTATTTCACAGGTAGGGGAATCTTCCTTGAAACTTCTACAGTATTCAGTGCGGTAAGTCCATCCTCTTTACAGAGAGAAAACAGATGTTTCTCTTGCCGCCAACCTGTCCTTATAAATTTGGTGGTTTCATCTGGCACATATGGAAACAGACATTGTTTACAACCAAATATTCTTGGCTAAAAAAAAAAAGATTCTAGGAAATGCCCAAAAGGAATGGCAGTGATGAATTCCAATGCACTTGCATGTTCTTTCAAATGGGTAAAATTTGAATTAGTATTTCAATGACATTTTAGTTAAAATTACATGCTGTATTGCAGTCTTGCCATATGAAGGAATGAAACAGAGGATGGTCAAATGCTTTTTAATTAATTAAAATGCAACAGCAATATCCAAGTGCGCAACTGTTTTATTCTTGCAAACTGCAAGGATTTTTTAACTAGACAGATAAGAGGTGACTGAATGCTCTTAACGTATGAATTGGTTAACTTAAAAAAAATCATAGCCACCACTCTTTGTGTAACAAACTAGTCAGATAAAAGGGATTTAAAATTGGACATGACCTTTTCCGACTCCCTTATATACAATTTCCCTTACAGCTCTTCAAGAAAAGCTGCTAAGTTGGTGTTCAGAGAGCTTGCAGTCTGATCATAATTTGCAATGGCAAAAGATCTCAGATCTTGACTGTCCATTTTTGGGACAGAAGGAAAGGAAAACAAACAAACACTTTCAACACCTTTAACTACTAAAGTAAATATAGCTGAAAAAGAAAGGTAAAGATGGTGTTTTGAGAACACAAAAAAGCAAAATCTTTTTCTGACACAACCTAAATATGACCTGAAACAGAGAAAACTGTAACTTAGGTTAAGAGAAGATACTAGAATTGTTGATCTACTATGTTAAACTCATGAGCTGCTCCATAAGAAGACTTACCTTGCATCTACGTTCCTAAAGAAACTGCTTAATGCTTCGTCATAAATTCCTTTCTAAAAGGAAACAACATGACATAAGATGACGTGTAACAAATTATTCTATGAAAAAAAGCACTGAAAAATTTTGAAGTTGGATGGGACCTCTGAAGGTAACCTCTCAAACCATGCCACTCAGAACAGAGTGAACGTCTACGTTGAATGCAACTAGCTCTAGTCAGCACTAAAAAGAACATTTCACTGAACCATCAGCTTGATATTAAAAACTCACAGGAGGATGTAACTAGGAAATTAATTTTTCAGCACAAGATTAAACAACTAATCTTCCTTCATTTTTAAAGATTTAGGATTTTACTGAAGATCCCACTGCAATTATTAAATTGAATAGCAGCTGTTTAGCTGACTCAGTTCATCACTGATACAACACTCACTTCATCATGGGCTCCATGCCCACAGTACCAATGTCCATGAAGTTCTGTGGAAAAGAAAGCACATTACACTGTATCAGTGATTCTTAAACTCCCTGCTGACGATGGCGTAGAAATTACTTACCCCCACCATAAAGCTAAAGAAACCTGGCAAGTTTAAATACTTTATTATTTTACAGACTGCTTATCATACTCTGAAAGACTTGATGAAGTAGAATTTGGAAGTCAGTGTTCCCTACAACACTAAAATCAAGAAACTCTCCGTATGCTTATGAACTTCATCCGTTGCCTTTTAACAGCTGCTTCAACAGAAGGCATTGAGAAGGACTGCTCATAATTATCTGTTAATATACAGTGTTTACCAGGAAATAATATATAGTCATGGCAAGAAGGGCGTATTTTTGTTCAGGGTACTCAGCACAATTCTATGGCCTCTTTACGCTGCTATTCTGGTCTGCACAACTGTACAGTAAATCATGACATGGCATGTGCTAACATGGAAAACAAAGGTGGGCTTTGTTGGTCTGCTTTTGTGCTTTACTGCCTGGGGCAAAGAACCTGCATTGAACAACCCTCTCTTTTCACCAACTGCCTCCAACCTGGTCAGGTCTGCCTGTAGTTTTTGAAACATCCTGGAGTTTTCAAGGTGCAAAGGATAGAGAAAGCTGATCCTGATGTATTTTAAAAAAGGTAAAAATTACATTTAAAAGGTAGAATGTATTTTAGAAGGTAGACTTTATCACTACACAAGAGCAAAAAGGTTACAAGGCCTTGTGAGACAGGACACTTTGTATAAACAATATATGCCTTGCTAATGAATACACCCTTGAAGAAGAACAGAAGGCTGATAACAAGGGAACATCACCCTGTATAAGGTGCTGAAACTGGCTAAAAATCAGCCAGCTGCTGAAAGAGGCCTAAAGACAACAAAGACTAGCAACTGCGGGAAAGGTAAAGGCGGCAGTGGGAGATCGCGACCACTGACTCAACTAGAGACTGAACAGAACTACCACCCCTCGCTGTACTGGAGCATGCGCACTAAAGGATAACTAAAGGACATTGTGGCTTTAAATGAAAGCGAGAGACTGTACTAACCAATAGAAAGTGTTAAGACAAGGTACTAACCAATAATTATAATTAAGAGTGTGCATTTCTGTGTTTTGAACCGTATAAATATTCCAAAGAGTCTGCAGGCCGGTGTGCTAGCTTTGCGGATTACCACCTAGCACCCACCTCTGCGCAGAGATGATTTAAATAAACATCTCCACTCTCCGTGTATATTGGCCTCTCGCACACCGGGAAAACGACCCCACTTCGGGCCAACAGCCTGAATTCGAGATGCTTAGTGGAACGGCGTAAAAATCCCGGGGATAGTTTTGCTCACAACGAAGCGGCCTGAGCTTCCCCAAGTAAATACGGCGCTCCGCAGCGACGGCCATGAGCACGGAA